GTCTTTGGCTTATTTAGCTCAACATAATTCTGTGGGAATCAATCTAGATTGTGGTGATAACAATCATTTGTTCCTTTTTAAGCTATTTAGTATTCCACGATCTGGATGTACAAGTTTATCCAACCATTCACCTGTTGAAGGATATCTGGATTGTTTCCAGGTTAGGGCTATTTCAAATAAATCTAAGTAGGTAAACATAACAAGCTTTTATGTGAATGCAAGTTGCCTGCATTTCTCTGAGATAAATGCCCAGAAGTACACTAACTGCACCATGTGTGGTTGCATGTTTCATGGTGTAAGACTGTCAAGCTGTCTTCCATAGTGGCTGTACTATTTTAAATTCCTACTGCAATATATGAGTGATTCTATTTCTCCATATCGTTACCAGCATTTGGCATGATCACTGGTTTTTGTTGTAGCCATTCTGATAGATTAAACACATATCAGATGCCTCATTGGGTTATAATTTGCTTTTTCCCTTGATGGCTAATAATGGCGGACATCTTTTCATGTGTTTCTGTATCATTGCTGTATCTTCTTGGATTTTAAAAATCTTTACTTATGTTCTAATTGGATTTTTACTTTTTTTAGCTGTTGAGTTTTGACATCTTTATATATTCTAGATATTAAGTTCTTTGTTGAATATGTGGCTTGCAGATATTTTCTTCCAGTCTGTAGCTTTTCATTCTTTTAGCAGGGCCTTTCACAAAGCAAATATTTTTAATTTGGATGATATCTAGTCTCTCAATTTTTCCTTTTATGGACTGTTCATGTCTCAAGTCTAAGAACTCTGTCTAGCTCTACATCATGAAGATTTTTTTCCTGGGTCTTTTTCTGAAACTTTATAATTGATGTTTTACATTTAAGTCCATGATTGATTTTTTTTTAATTTTTGTGTAGAATTTGACATGTAAGTAGAAGTTTATTTTTTCCTGCTGTTTTTTATATTACTTTTTTAATTTAAATTTTATTTTTTATATTCCCCATACAATTACAACCCCTTTATTTTGACCCCAAGCCCTCTTTTCCCCGCCCCCCACCCCCCATAGAGTGTCTCTGCTTCATAGTTGTTTGTTGATTTTGATATTTTCTTTCTTATAGTTATTCTTTTTCCTGGTCCCTTATTTAAGTTTTCTAGATTCCTGCTATGAGTGAGACCATCTGGTATTCTTCTTTTTCTTTCTGGCTTATTTCGCTGAGCATCAATGATCCCTTCCAGCTCCATCCATGTTGCTGCAAATTGCATGTGTTTATCTTTTTTGAATGCTGAGTAATATTCCATGGTGTATATGTACCACATCTTCTTGATCCAGTCATCTATTTTTGGGCATTTGGGTTGATTCCAAAGCTTAGCTATTGTAAATAGTGCTGCTATAAACATAGGGGTGCAGGTGCTCTTTGGAATTGATGTTTCTGTGTCCTTTGGGTAAATACCTAGGAGTGGAATTGCTGGATCATATGGAAGGTCTATGTTTAGTAGGTCAAGAAATCTCCACACAGCTCTCCATAGTGGTTGGGCCAATTTGCACTCCCCCCAACAGTGCGGGAGAGTTCCTTTTTCTCCACAACCTCGCCAACATTTGTTGTTGCTGTTTTTTTTAATATGTACCATTCTCACTGGTGTAAGATGGTATCTCACTGTAGTTTTGATTTGCATTTCCCTGATGACAAGTGATGTTGAACATTTTTTCATATGCCTGTTGGCCATTTGCATTTCCTCTTAAGAGAAGTTAGAAGTTCATTTTTTACTTATGGATATGGATATCCATTTGCTCCATGTGTTGAAAAGTCTGTCTTTCCTTGGCATATTTGTATGAGTCTGTTTCTGGGTCTCTACTCTGTTTTGTCGATCTATATGTCTATCCTTCCACCAATACCACACAATTTAGATTACTGTAGCTATATAATAAGACTTAAAACGAAATAGGTTGGTTTTTCCTACTTCATTCATTTTCAAAATTATTTCGTTATTCTTATTCCTTTGCTTCTACATAGAAGTTTCAAATAATTTTGTGTATGTCTACAAAAATTCTTGATGGAATTTTGATAGGAATTGCAATAAGCCCATATATCAATTTGAGGAGAATTGATGTCTTCACTATCATGAGTCTTTCAATTCATGAACATGGGTGGTGATATTGGATTCTTCTGTATATTTTTTTAATTTACTTTCTATCTAGTTCTTCTCCCAGTTATAAAGAGGAATCTTGATATCTCCAGCAATAATTTTGGGTTTCTCTGTTACTCCTTACAGCTCTATCAGCTTTTGCTTCACATTTTTACAGCTCTGTTTGGTGCATACACATTTAGGATTGATATGTTTTCCTGTTAGTGTGGCCTTTTTATCATTATATAATGCCCCTCTGAGTCCTTTTTTGTTGTTGTTGTTTTGTTTTTGCTATGAAATCTACTTCATTTAATATGAGTGTAGCCATTCTGGCTTTCCTTTGGTAATTATTGCATGACAACTTTTTCCAACCTTTTACTTCCCACAAGACTATATTGTTATATTTGAAGTGAGTTTCCTTTAGATAGTATATAGTTGAGTTGTTTTTTATTCCACTCTACCAAACTCTATCTTTTAATTGATGTATTAAAATTAAGTGTGGACTATATTAATAGTCAAAACTATTAATAATATCATTATTATGCTGTAGATATCATGCATAATATCAGTCTGCTGATGTCATCATTGCAACAAGTTTTCTGTCCTGCTAGACTGCCTCTCCCCTGGTTCTTGGGCTAGAGAGAATAGGATATTGTTGGGCTTGATGGCTTTTTTTTTTCCAGTCTGTACCCATTGATTGGTGTTTCAAGTGACTGACTTCTTTTTCAACTCTAGGGTATGAGGCAAATAGAAAATCCTAGGAACTCACCTACATGTCAGTCTTCATGTCGCAAAGTCCCTATTTGATCTCTTTTTCTCTTCTAAAGTCTTCCTATGTATGTTTTCTATATAACATCTAGGGTTTCAAATTGTAGTTATTGGGAAAGAGAGGGAAAAGTGGCAATCCCAGTGTTATATTTGATCTAACATAGGATTAAGGTGAACTTTCTTTTTCTAAATATACCTATGAATGACCTAGCACACTGGAGGAATTTACCCCAGAAAATAGGCCCATAGCTACACTGTCACAAAATTTCAGGCAAGGGTTCTTACTCTGTCCACTTAGTTTTCTTTTCTGTTTTTCTTTATCCTCCTTTGGAATTGAGGCCTGTCAGCCACAAGGTGGTGCCCCAGAGTAGTTCAAGCTAAGCCCTTTCTGCTCTTTGTTCAACCCCTTCAACTTAGTCATAATCACAAGTTCATTTACTAAACCAGGATATAATTGTGAAGATCCAGTTATATTTTCCTTTAAGCTGTAGCTTCCAAGTTGGACGGAAACTTAAATAATCAGTATGAAATACTGGTTGTATTTGAACATTTTATTTACATCTTTACAATAACTTTGTGGGAATAAACATGGAGATTTTATTTTATTTTTATTTATTTATTTATTTTTAGAGGCATGTTTTATTTATTGTTTGTTTGTTTGTTTTTTGTTTATACATTCACTGGGTACAGTCAGAAGCGCGGGAGGGTGAGAGAATTTACCAGAGCCAGAGTGGGGAGCAGAGTAGGCAGAAGGACCGAAGTACACTGCTGAGGGGAGCAGTAGGCGGCAGGAGAGGTCTGGGCGCCATGTGGGACCCTCCTCCGGTGGCCGGGGAGCAGCCGGGGATCGAACTGGCGCCGCAGAGGCCGCGGGCAGCTTCGCAACCCAGCACTCAACCGCTGCGCCACAGGGGAGGCCCAAACGTGGAGATTTTAAAAAAGTAATTGTCTTTCCAATTAATGAGTTCAGTTACCATCTTGTATTTTGTACTCATTTAAAACAATTCCTAGTGTCAACATAGCTTTAAGAAAGGAATGCTGACAGCTCTCCTTCTCCCCTGTGACTATGCAGGTGCTTCTCTTTTTCCTTTTCCTAATAAAGCTGTCCTTTTAAAATGTTAAAAAAAAAAAGGGGGGGGAATGCTATAAGTGCATTCTTAAGGAATGTTTTTTGAAGTGTTTGAATGCATGAACCAAACTTTCTTAGTATACATGTTTACCTAACTTTTAAAATAATAGCATTTAACAATACACTAAAAATGCATGAAAGGACTGGTAACTACATGTTACCACTTACATGTTAATACTCTGAATAGTGAGCTATAAAGGGTTTCTTCTTTGTTCTTTCTCCTAACTTATATTTTCAACTTTTCAGTATTCATCCATTTTAATGATGGATAGAAATAAGTGTTGGGCAGATTCTTCACCTAATCAGAAGATGTTTATTAACCACCCAACATATGTAGAGAATCTTTTCTTAGGCTTGATAATTGGGTAAGAAAACTAGTAAGCACTCTCACTAAAGATGGGCACTCTTTCACATGTCATTGAAAATTTTGATGTGTGCTATTCACCATGTGCCTTATACATAGGGAGACCTGAGGGGGGAAAATATTGAACACAGGAGCCATTATTCTAGATCTGAGGGAAAGATATATTGTTGTTTTATAAAGTTATAGATTTAGAGTCCTCACACAGGTCTTGATACAAACTTCTCTGCTTGATTATTAGCTCACATTCATTGGGCAAGTTGTGTCCATTCTGTATTATAATTCTAATACTAATAATTAAGGGTTCTATAACCAGCTACTGTTACCTAAAGTAATAAGATTAATATAGTCATGAAGTAGGATGAAAAGGAAAAAAAAATCCAGTATAAATCCAAAGTACGAAATAGTGATATTAAAAAATTTAGCCCTTGCTAATTCAGGATTAGATTTGCATAGAGTTTATATATGTATTAGACTTAACAAACAGGTGCTAAAGCAATTTGATAACCAACATTAAGTAAAAATGGAATTTTATTAAGGAATTTAAAATAATGAAAACTTATGCAGAATAGCAACATAAATACACAAAAGCTGAGCAGTTTGGTTGAAACAGGGGCTGGCTTTGTGTTTTCTAGCTCTTGAATGTAGTCTCGCAACTAGCCAAGCAGAATCTGCGACTCCTAGTCCTGGGTCGAAAGCATATGCTACAGCAGAGTTTTCGGTGGAGAAGAGATGAAATGGAAAAGGTACAAAAACAAGCCAGCTGTTTCTTTGCTGACAACATGTAAGTATTGAAGGTAATAGGTGAATTACACTAGGCCCCAGTGCTCTGCTTGTGAGGTACTTATTTTCACTGTTTCAAAAGTGTATGTATACTAATCTTCATTTAAAAAAAAAAAAGATTTGAGGCAGGTAACAAATACAATTTCTACAGAAAATTTAAATAGACAAGGAATCAGGATAAAGGAAAAAGAGGGGGGAAATAAAGTCAGAAATGAGGTTAGTACCCAGAATGAATGCTATAAGATCCTAAACAGCTGATTAAACAAGTATTTTACAATTATGAGCACCTTCTATGTTCTTAACACACCAGTGAACAAGACTAAGCTCCTGCCCTGTTGGAACTTATAAATACAGATAAACAAATAAGCAGGTAATGTAATTCCAGACAGTGATCAATGTTATAAAGACATTAAAGCAGAAAATAAGAAAATAAAAAGGCATTAAGTAGTGGGTAGGTTAGAGGGTAGTGGATGGTGTAACCAGGAAAGGCCTTTGGGAAGGGACAGAGCTTAAGGGATGAAGTCAATCATTTGAGAAAGGGGAAGAGATGGTAGGAAGAACATTATCAGGAAGAGGGAACATCAAGTGTTCAAAAGCTCTGAGGCAGTAAAGAGCTTGGCATGTTGGAAGAAAGCAAGCAGGCCAGTATAAATAGGCTGTAGCAGCAAGAGGAAAAGGAGTAAGTTCTGAGGTCAGAGAAGGCAAGGAGCACATTACAGAGGACTTTGTGGGCTCTGATAGGCAAGCAAGAGGCCTGGATTTTATTCTAACTGTAAAGGGAAGTCTGGTATGAACGACAACTTACCAGAAAGTCAAAGGATGTGAAAAACATGGGCCAGTGACAAAATAAACAGTGTCCATAAAGAGGAAAGCAACAACTAGGGAAAAGCACAAGTACTCACAGCAAATATAAACTGTTGACAAGCATTGTTTTTCATACTACTTGCTGAGAAAATTTATTTCCACCTTTGCATGGATAATGTATGTACCTCCACTTCAAGTCTGTATTTCACTAAGTTGAATGTGATAACTTCAAAATGTGTCAGAATAATTTGTATCCTCCAAGTTATTCTTAAGCTAAAGTAGCTCTAAATGCATGAAACAAGGTGCTAACACCTCAGTCACATCCCAAACACAAGCCTGTGTTTTGTTCACTGAGTTCTTTTATTTATTCATGGGAGACGGTACTTCCGTCTCTCCAAGAAAGGAAGATAATAATGTTCTTGACACAGTTACTTTCGGTAACATTGGGTTGACATTAGGAGCACAGCCTTGGAATTACTCTACACAGGTTCCAGTCATGGCCCTACCATTTCCTATCTGGAAGTTGTTTCTCCTTCTTTGTGTCTTCTTTTCTTTCTGTGTAACTCTAAAGGGGTCATTGTGAAGATTAAATGAGATAATACTTACAAATAATACATGTAAAACTCTTTCATAGCACCAACTACATGGATAGCATATATGTTATTTGCTATACTCATTATTAATAATTTTCTCTGGTGAAAGAATTGGAAAAACATAAAGTGTTATGACCAAGAAGCCTGTTGGAAATTGGCCTCACAGCCTAATTAGGGTAATTAGGGTGAAGAATGCTATCCTCTGGCTCCTTGGGGGTGTGCTTTGATTGTGTCCTTGTTTATGCCTGTCAGCTCAGAGGATGATCCATTTCTCCTGTATGCTACGCTGCACTCTGGGAATCACTGCAAGTTTATCACAAAGGATCTGATGCGGGACCACAAGGCCTGTCTACCTGATCCCAAGACCCAACGCCTGTTCTTTAAGTGGCAGCAGGGACATCAACTGGCAATTATTAATATAGTTCCAGGATCAAAAATAACCTTTCAGGTATGTTAGCTGTTTTTTATATAGTTCAACAGAGTCAAGTGTATAGTAAGAACCCGGCATAGTCAAAGGATGTCCCAAACTAGTTGAAGGTTCTAAATGCTTTATTTTCCTCACTTTAGTGTGGTGTTTGAAATTAGCCAGTTCTGGAAACAGAAAGTCTACCAGACCAAAAGTTTTCATAGGTCATCCTCATATTAATTGACCTGTTAAAAAATACCTGGAAAATCATCAATTTGTGACTTCAATTATATCATCAAATTACAACTCCTCATACACTGTAGTTTTGATTTTTTTATTTCTATTTATGTGCAGTAGTTCAAAATTCCTTATCCCTTATAGTTTGTCAGAGTTCTGCTTCTGTTAAGTAACTCCTTTTTCCTGTTTAAACCACTTCCATTGCATGGTCTTAGTTGTTGATCTCCTCTTTGATTCTCCTGTAAATACAAGGTTGTTAGATCATGTGCGAAAACAAAGGGAGAAAATTGAAAAGCAAGTTATTACAGAAATACAGTAACCATTGATAAAGATGACCTCATGGTCAAAAGAACAACAACAACAAATTTATAGCAAATACTGTACCGAGTGATAGCATAGCAAAATGAAGACCAGGGGGGAAATACAGGACACTAGCTGCTTTCTTCAACAACAAAAAAAATGCTAAGAAAATTGAAGAGTCAAAGAGAATTAAGAGCGAATTCAATTAGTTACAGTGTAATAACCTTTTTTCAATTTTTATTCAAACAAACTGTAAAATATATGAATACAACTATAGCAGTTACAGAAATATAAACAGAAATTTGATAATGTTAAGAAATTATTAATTCGTAGGTGTAATGATGATACTGATGGTATATTTACAAATAGCTCTTTATCTTTTAGAGATATATACTGAATATTACAGAAGAAATGATAAAACATCTGATATTTGCTTCAAAATAATCTTGAGGGGTAAAAGCAAGGAAGGGGTAAAGGGAGGGCTGAAGGAAGGATGTGGGTGTAGTGTGGATGAAGTGCTACTAACTATGAGTTGATAAATGGTTGAAGCTGGGTGATGAATGGGCATATGGGAGTTCATTAAACTATTTCTTTACTTTTGTATATTTGAAATTTTTCTCTCACATACAAAACTGATAAAAGTAGCAAAAGGAATATTATAGCCAATAAATGCTATGCTCCTATAGAGACTTCTTAACTTTAAAAATGAAATCCCCCTCAAAGGGAACTCTTAGTACTAGGGTTCATCTTTACAGAGCTAGCTTACTTTGTAAATATGTTGCTGAGAATGACAGGCAATAGTCCTCTGAAGAAAACTTGTCAGAAAAGTCGTCAGAAAAGAAAGGGATATGGCCAGGTAACCCATTAGTGTTGTTCTCAATGTTTGGTTTCTTTTTAATTCAACAGCCTATCCTCAGCTATGACACAGTGGTGCAAACAACTGGAGACTCGTGGCACATACCATATGATGAAGACCTGGTGGAAAGATATTCCTGTGAAGTGCCAAGCAAATGGCTTTGCCTTCACAGAAAGACATGAAAACTCTCATTCCCATGCTAAAAATGGTAGGGACGCCTTCCTGGTTGACATTAGAGCATTGCTGCTGTCCTGTTTAATCCGGTTGGATTGTATGTCAATAAATTGACTTTTAAGTTAAATGTGATATACTATCTTTTCATAGCCAGTTGCATTTCCCCCCTAACATTTGTTTTTGGAGGCTTATTCAGAGTTGGGGAAGTCAATACAGAGTAAAACCTACATTTCCATTAAGCCTGCTTGCTATTCCATTTACTTGCGCAACTGGTGTTTCGTGTATCCATTTTGCTGCTTCTGATTTCACCTTCCAGGTCCACCAATAGCAGAACCAATCCACCTGTGCCTGGGCTACGTGTGTTATCTGTAAGCCCATTCTTTTCTGATAACATCTCATCTTCTACATATTATCTTCTACCCATCCTGAATCACTTATGGTACTCTTATAAACTGGCCAAGATAATCAAAAACTAATGAGCATATCATCACCAGTGATTTGGGTTGAAGGAAAGGAGGTAATTCCCTCCCTTTTGACTGTGATTTTCCCTTCATTCTATAATGCCTTTTCCAAATTAGCTTATCATTTGCAAGCCCTATCCTATCACTCATTATGAGGGCTTTCTAAAGTATGCATTTTTATTTAATCAAATTTGACTTTGTTTAACAAAGTGATTAAGTTTCTCTATTTTCCCCACTTGCTAGCCAGCTTACACCTTGCCAGGCCTTGATTATTCATGCCTGCAACACCTTACGATGTTCTTTCCTTATATATTTATTAAATTATATATATATAATTTATATATATATATATCATGATTTAATATTCAAGAATAGGCAAAACCAATCTGTGGTAATTAAAATCAGAGCTGTTGCCTGAGGAACGGGGCACAAAAGAACATTCTAGGGATGATAAAGTTCTATATATTGATCTGGGTGAAGCTAACATAGATTTGTGTGTATATTAGTAAAATTTCTTCACACTAAACACTTAAAAATTAATGCATTTACAACAGTGTACCTTAAAAATTATGTTAGCATTAAAAAAAAGTTACTTGCTTGAAAAAAACAATGGCAGTGTGTCTTGTGTGCACAAAGAGGCAATCCAGGAAAAACAGAGGACAGGACTTTCTATTGATATCTCCTTTTCCATTTACTAGATTCAGCACTGCTGCAGGCCAAAGGGAAAGAGCATTCCAGGCAGTTGTATGATAAATTGAAAGCATTGAAAGGTGCCGAGAATCAGAAGGCTCTCATGAATCAAATCTGCTTATTTTTTAAATGTCATACTTAGAAAACTGCTTTCAGGGCTCTAAACTTTTTTAGGGAACTACCCTAATTTAAAGAAAAAAGATTGTTTTTGATAAATTCTTTTTTATTTTATTTTATTTATTTTTACATAGAAGAACTGTGGCATAGGCCAGAGGTACAGGGAATGAGAGGATTCACCAGAGACAGAGTGGGGAGCAGAGCAGGCAGATCTACTGAACTATGCTGCTAAAGGGAGCAGTGGACAAAACAAGAGAAGTCTGCTGCACCATGTGGCTTAGCTCCCTAGCCGGGGATCAAACTTAGGCTATTGCAGTGGTAGCGGTGAGACTTAACCCCCAGGCCTCCAGGGAGGCCCCAAAGAAAAATGTTTTTAAAAGAAAAAAGCACAGTGTTGGGAAGTATTTGTTAAGGAAGCTTGTCTAAAAGACTAATACACTGTGCCTCCCCTGGTGGCACAGCGGTTGAGCGCTGGGCTGCGAAGCTGCCCGCAGCCTCTGCAGCATCGGTTCGATCCCCGCAGACCTCTCCTGCCACCCGCTGCTCCCTTCAGCAGTGTATTTCATCAAGTCTGCCTATTCTGTTGCCTGCTCTGGCTCTGGTGAATTCTCTCACCCTCCCACGCTTCTGACTATACCCAGTGCTTGTGCAAATAAATAAATAAATAAATCTTTAAAAAAAAAAAAAAGACTGATACAGTATTCCTCACAAGGGGTTCATGAAGATGAAGGAGGATACAAATCTAGAACTTTAGATCAGAAGTGAACCTTGAAGAATATAAAGTCCAACAGGAAGAATAAGAGCCAGAAAGATGAAATGGCTTCCCTGGGTCTCACAGCTAATTAGTAGAGACATTTCAACCATAACCCATTTCCTCTAATTTCCACAAAATAGTCTTTCTTTCTGCTATCCACTGTGATTTAGACTAGAGAAGGTCATAAAAACTCAGGACTTGGTGGTACATCTAGTGTTTAACTTAGAAACTTTGTTAGCTACGTAAGAAAAAAGTGGAAAGATCAAGCAAGGAAACATAGGAGTACCTCTTTAAGGGCCCACATTTCCAGAAAGTATCATCATTGTAAAATATTGTGGTAGGAAAATTACATTATTTTTGAGCCCTTTAATACCATTCAAAATCAAAACCCTACATCTTGTACACCTTTTGGTAACAACACATCACGTGAACCTACACATGATGGCCCTCACCTGTGTGTGGTATGGATGCATCATGTGAATCTGCACATGACATTGCTCACATGTGTGGTACATACTACATGCCAGGTACTCTTTCTACCACTTTACTCATTAATTCTGAAGCCCCAGTGACCCTTGAGTTAGCATTAACAATATCCCCAGTTTTTTTTTTAAAGATTTATTTATTTATGCATACAAGAACTGGGGTGAGGTGGGGGGGGGGTTGAGAGGATTCACCAGAGACAGAGTGGGGAACAGAACAGGCAGACTGACTGAACTGCACTGCTGAGGGGAGCAGTGGGCAAGTTAGGACAGGTCTGCTGCACCATGTTGGTTGCTCCCCGACTGGCGGGGGATTGAACTCGTGCTACAGAGGCTGCGGATTGCTTCATGGTGTAGTGCTTAACCCCTTGCGCCACCAGGGAGGCCCTACCCCCAGTTTTTAGATAAGAAAAGGAAAGAATTGAGAAGCTTAACCAAGTGTCCACAGTTAGAAAGTGGTAGAAAGCCGCCAAGCATTTGAAACCGGGCTGTCTCCAAATCCTGTCTGCAACTAATTCAGTAATTATTCAACTAGCTAGTTATAAGTACGTTCCCATGAGAGTGTGAATCAGAGTCAGACATAATCATACAAAAATTATATGTGTGACTGTCATGGTTATAAAAGAATTAGCTACCATAGAAAATTTGGGGGATGGGGGATCTTAATTTCTGCTTGAGGTAAATTGAGATTAACCTGTGCTTGTTCAGGGGTGGGGGAATTCTAGAACTGCTCAGAGTACATCACACTGGACTCTAGGGAGTGCTGATATTCTCTAAAAGCAGAGAGCTGATCTCAAACATTCAGGCTGCCCATTTGTATTCAGATCATCTGAGTGAAGCAAAAGCTACCTGTGAGGCAAGGTCTAAGACAATGTGGGAAGAAAGAATTTTTTAAAAAGCTGTGTTCTGGGATTGATAGTGTTTATTTTTTTTTTTTATAAATTTTATTTTTATATTCCCCATACAATTGCAGCCCCCCCATTCTGACCCCAATCCCTCCCCTCCCGCCCCCACCCCTCTAAAAGTGTCTCTGGTTCATAGTTTTTTGTTGATTTTGATTTTCACTTTCTTATAGTTATTCATTTTCCTGGTCCCTTATTTAAGTTTTCTAGATTCCTGCTATGAGTGAGACCATCCGGTATTTTTCTTTTTCTTTTTGGCTTATTTCGCTGAGCATGATCCCTTCCAGCGCCATCCATGTTGCTGCAAATTGCATGTGTTTATCTTATTTGAATGCTGAGTAATATTCCATGGTATATATGTACCACATCTTCTTGATCCAGTCATCTATTTTTGGGCATTTGGGTTGTTTCCAAAGCTTAGCTATTGTAAACAGTGCTGCTATAAACATAGGGGTGCAGGTGTTCTTTGGAATTGATGTTTCTGTGTCCTTTGGGTAAATACCTAGGAGTGGAATTGCTGGATCATATGGAAGGTCTATGTTTAGTAGGTCCAGAAATCTCCACACAGCTCTCCACAGTGGTTGGACCAGTTTGCACTCCCACCAACAGTGCAGAAGAGTTCCTTTTTCTCCACACCCTCGCCAACATTTGTTGTTGCTAGTTTTTTTAATATGTGCCATTCTCACTGGTGTAAGATGGTATCTCATGGTAGTTTTGATTTGCATTTCCCTGATGACAAGTGATGTTGAACATTTTTTCATATGCCTGTTGGCCATTTGCATTTCCTCTTCAGAGAAGTTTCTTTTTAGCTCTTCTGCCCATTTTTTGACTGGATTATTTTCTTTGTTGTTGTTGAGTCTCATCAGCTCTTTGCAGATTTTTGTGATCAGTCCTTTATCATTAGTGTTGGGTGCAAAAATGTTCTTCCAGTTGGTGGGGTTTCTCTTTGTTTTTGTTATTGTCTCTTTTGCTGTGCAGAAGCTCTTTAATTTGATGTAGTCCCAGCTGTTTATCTTTGCCTTTACTATCACTGCTTTGGGTGATGTGTCTGTAAAGATGTCTTTGATGTGCAAATCACGTAGTGTTTCGCCTATGTTTCCTTCTATATATTTTATGGTTTCAGGTCTTATGTCTAGTTCTTTAATCCATTTTGAGTTGATTTTTGTGTATGGTGTGAGGTAGTGGTCAAGCTTCATTCTTTTGCATGTAGCGACCCAGTTTTCCCAGCACCATTTATTGAACAAACTTTCTTTGCTCCAATGCATAGTCTTTGCTCCTTTGTCAAAGATTAGTTGACCATAAATCTGTGGGTTTATTTCTGGATTTTCTATTCGATTCCATTGGTCTGTATGTCTGTTCTTGTTCCAATACCATGCAGTTTTGATGATTATGGCTTTGTAGTATAGTTTGAAGTCTGGGAGTGTGATGCCTCCATTCCCTTCTTTTTTTTTCAGGAGAGCTTTGGCTATTCGGGGTTTTTGGTGATTCCATATGAATTTCATCAATAATTGTTCTATTTCTTTGAAGAATGACATTGAAATTTTGATTGGAATAGCATTGAATCTGTATATTGCTTTTGGTAGGATGGCCATTTTAATAATGTTTATTCTTCCAATCCATGAGCAGGGGATGTCTTTCCATTTCTTTGTGTCTTCTTCTATTTCTTTTAACAGTGTTTTATAGTTTTCTTTGTATAGGTCCTTTACCTCTTTTGTTAGATTTATTCCCAAATATTTGATTTTTTTTGTTTCAATAAAAAAAGGGATGGTTTTTTTGATTTCTTCTTCTTCAGATTTATTGTTTGTGTATAGGAAGGCTACTGACTTTTGCGTGTTGATTTTGTATCCTGCCACTTTACTGAACTGATTGATGAGTTGAATTAGTTTTTCTGTGGAGTTTTTGGGGTCCTCTATGTATATTATCATATCATCTGCAAATAGTGATAGTTTGACTTCTTCTTTTGGGATTGATAGTGTTTAAAGTCATCCGTCAAGGCATTGACTCTGCTACTGAAAAATATTTCTAAAGTGCTTTTTGCTTCCTTCCCTCTGGCATACTCCTGAGTTTATCCCCTCTTTCACCCTGCTGTTCTCAGACCCAATACAAAGCAAATCTCAAAGGAGAAGCCTGGGTTCATTTTCTCAGGTCTCCATTGGGACTACCTCGCCTCAGGTGCCTTGTTCTGCACATTAATTTTTCTCAAGTTTGCACTGAAATGTTATTACTGCTTTCTGAATCTTCTAGCAATTTTCTCATTTTTTTTTAAATTGTACTAAAGTACTATAAAATGCATCATATTGTTCACATTAGATTTCTTTTTCCTTGACAGCTTCACTTTAAAGAATGAAAGGGGTGTGTTAATGTAGGCACCTGAATGGAGTACAGG